ACTTTGTGCCAAATTGAACGAGCTGTTTCTGAAATATTGGTATGTCTGAGAAAAAACGTATATGCGTGTGCAAGTGGATGTGCTGCGTGTGCATGTGGGACCATTTAGACGCTAACCTGCACAATCCCTGAAAATTTCATGAAAATTGGATAATCAGTAGTAGGTGCTATGCCCGTTACATCGATTTGACTACAGACAGACAGACGCCGAACCAAATTTGATCCTTGAAAATTTTTGATTGTGAACACAAACTTTTTTGTGTATACAAATACAAAGCTTCCCTAACTTCGGTTGTGAGGAAGCAAAACTTGATTGTAAGTTTATAAAGGTTTATTACGTGCACACAACTTTAATTTACCACTCTACTTAGAGTAGAAATAGGTATTTTCATATAAAGGGGAGTTAAAGTAAACATTATGGACAGTATAACATATTCGTTTAAAACAATAAATTACTATGTTTTTCCTATGTTACTAGAATTTCATAAATTTATACATTTGTCTCACTTTCTACTTGGATTTCCACACAGATATTCCCTTCTAATAATCTTAATGGGGTTCATACTCAATGTAATTGTCATAATGAATGGAATGGTAAAGAAGGTTTAATGTTAGGAGTAATGTTCTCATTTTTATCTTTATCTAACCCATTTTAAAATCAACAGGGTCCAAAGAAAAACAAAAAAACGATAATATTGAAATAAAAATCCTCTCCAATCGCAATCATTTTTTAAAAATAGAAAAAATAAAAATACTCCACTTATCTACTAAATACAAGGTTATCTTATTCTTACATACAGCATATTTATTCAATTACCATCATATTTGATATATTACTGAAAAATGTATATAGAAAAGAAATATATTTTTAGGTCTAAACTGTGATATAATGATTTCCTTAAGTTCAAGTTCTTTAATATTTCCATTACACGAACTATTATTTATTTAAAACCATTATTCAACTAAACGATGTTTCAGTTAATTGAAAAATAATGTTTTTATTAAACGATATATCGGATTAGTAAAAAATCACGTAATTATTGATCGATATTTCGTTTAGTTAAAAATAACGTTTCTATTGATTGATATATTGGTTTAGTAAAAAATTATGTTTTTATTAGAGATATATCGTTTAAAGCAAAAAAGATCTAAGTGCATTTCAAAAACAATTATAAATTTTTATATTAAAAATTGTATGAAACGTTTGCTAAGTAAACGATAAAAACAAATATACTTTTTACATAAACATATAAATAGTAATAAAAAAAAAATGTTCTAATATCATTAACTTCTAATGGGGTCTACGATATTATATTTGGAAATAATATAGGGTGTAATACCATTCCACAATTTTTTGAAGTCCCTTTATCAATAAAATTCAACAACTTTTTGAAACTGTTGAATTTCTGAAAATTTATTAACATGAGTTTTAAATCCGAAAATAAAACACTTAATATGACTGGCTATCTAAATTTATTTTGGATTTGTTTTAAAACATTCTGAAAACAATCTATATATTACACAATATTTATAAGATAAGATCAATAGCATTGATCTATATATAGTTGAATAGTATAAGATTTTAAAAACATATATTTTTCTTGCGCCATATAAATTAAAGTAATCTCCTTTTGAACAAATTTATTAAAATTTTATTATTGGTACTTTTTCGAATCGCTTAAAAACAGACTATAATATACTTTAAATCCTAAAGAACATGTTTATACAAATTTATAAAGTCATTATCAAAATTTCGGAACTTGGTCAATGCCGCGAATTTCCAATTATTCGTAGCACTGTGTGGCGCTGTAAGAGTCGGTCAGTGGGAAGATAACGACAGAGCATATAGTGCGGCAAGAAAAGTTTGATAATAAATAATATTATGTAATAAATAAAATAAATGATATTAATAATAAATAAAAATAATATAATAATATTTTCAACCATGATATAAAATATACCAATAGGCAAAATATAACAAGCGCGAACTTAAGTGATATTGTACTTAATAACAACATGGATGGCTACTCAATTATAGTTAATGACTAATAATAATCACATGATAATTTACTCTAGATTTTTTGATAAATTATTAAATGTATTTCAAGAGATAATAAATTGTATTGAGTCCATTCATGAATCAATTGAAGATGGCCTGACAGCCGAAACGACATGAAAAAAAAATTCAAGTTATTTCTCTAGTTTCAAGAAGTACAAATAAATTACGTCCCTTCTACTTAATTATAAATATGCTAATACATTATTTTTCATCTTTGAACTTTTAGCAAGTATATTTTTATTGGATATTATTATTTATTTATTACTTCATATCTATTATTTGAATGTAATATACTTTATATTTGTTCTTTAGAAACAAAAAGTTACTAACCTCATTGCCAAAATTCCTATTATATATCTCATGTAACTTGTAATATAAAATTATCAATTGCTTCATAAAAAACACCGCACTAACTAATTGTTTAACATCAGATATAAAAGTTGATAGTATGCATCAAGATCTACAAAATAGTTCATGATAACAACAATCGCCCAATTTCAAGCAGAAAAGTAGGAAATTAAAGCTTTATGTCTTTTAAGTGAGTCACATTTTTGTTGAATAGAAAGCGATAACTTAGTAGAATTCGTCATTGTTAAAACTATTTAAAGAGGACCATTAAGCGGACAAACACAACTGATTTCATAATTTATCACATACCTTTAATGTACAGTGAACTATCAAGCGGTGAACAAGTATACCAACATCGGCCCCAAATCGAGCCCGTAAACTTGGCTACAGCAGCAATCAGCGAAGAACAACAATGAAGGAAAAACATGATTATTTAATTAACAGATAAGACGGGAAGAATGAAAGTGCTAAAAATAAAATGACCAAGCAAATGAAGTACATTTTTAACACTACACTTCACATTAAACTGACTCTAATCTCACCTTCCGATAACTTGAGTGATAACGAAGGCAAATATCAAACAATATACAAAATGAGTGCCCGACCCAGATTTCTTATTGTTTATGATAATAGACCGCTTTTGGCAAATGTGAGGAAAAACACATTACTTAAAACACTTTGAAAGAAATTTCAATTAACTTTGAAGGAGTTCTTCGGGATTAACAATTAAATCTGAAGTGAATAATTCTAAATTCAGAAACTGCGTGATGCCTTTACAAAGTTAGCAAAGAAATTTTTTTTTCAAATAAACAAACCTGATCTGAAACGAAATGATCATCTTCCAAGGAAACAGCATAAAGCCAAGTTATGGTCATTATAATCCAGTGGTTAAAAAAAAATCTTATTACTCTTACCATTTTATCACCTCTTACAGTAATAGATTAAATCGGAGGGGCGTAATCTATAAATTATCATTAGGGGAGCAGTAAATAGATCAAATAGATTTCAAACCGCAACCAACGATGTCTGTCAGAAATGAAAAAAAAAAGTTTTAGGTTCAGAACTATTTAGGAGGCGTACTGTTTCTTAGTCAATTATTTAATAGGGTACTCACTTTACAGAGGCCGGGTGTGCCTCAGGAAGATCTCCCGATTCCCGATTCGATACACGAACGACGAAACAGAATTAAATAATTTATTTTCCAACAGCCGGATTCGAACATCAAATAAATTGCTATCAAATAAATTGAATTTTGTTTTGTTAAGGATAAAAATATTGAGATTTAGAACTATTGCAAAAAATAATATATTTAGAGGTAGGGACGTCTGCTACACTTATCTTTACACTCCATTCAATCCATCCAGTTTGTATGATCTTCTCCAAACCAACGTAAACCAATACTTTTTTACAGAAATACACTCAAAAGTTAACACTTTTTCTTGTTTTAAACTATAAAAAAAATAAATACTATATGTTAGGCTACCGTGTCAGGTTATGAAAAAATTATGTGTTACCATTTACCTATTGTTCTTAAAACTTTCTGACTACATATATTTTCTTGACTAACTCTTATTTAAATCAGATTCTCTGTTTATAAATTTAAATTTATGTCTGTCCCCGATCCGTGGCGCCCTGCTGCGATCTAATGAAACCTTTTAACTCGGCCAAGTTTCCCGACTAAAGTGAATTCATACAAGGAACTGTCCGAGAAACATAGAATAGAAAGAGAAACATAAAAGAACTGACGTTTAATTAGCTTATCATCTAAAAGTGTAATTTTACAAGATATATTGACAAAAAGCAATGAGGGTGGTGTTTTGATAAGATATTTTTTCAATCCTCCAATACTAACTTATGGAACATGCCCATCTCCGAACTTATTCAAGTACTTATTTGAATAAAATATTACTTATTCGTAATAATTAAACATGTGATATATTAATTAATAATCGGAAAATTCCAACCACGTCGCCTTATATCTCGAAAATGAAGGTAAATACTGATGTCAATTTTTCACCAATTCAGATATTATTGCTTCAGGACAGAAAAAAAAAACCAAGATCACACACTCCATGACATCCAATCGCAGACTGGAAGACAAGTGAGGTAAAACATTAAGATGATGTCAGCTTAGGTTTATTTTATTTTCTGTCCTGGTAATTTTGGATTAACGAAACAATGACCTAATATTCTTTATCTGCATTTAAGAGATACCCATGCTGTGTGGGTTTATAATTCTGCTAATTATAAACAAACATCGATTTTCTTTCTTTTGGTAAGTTTTTAATATTAACATATATTAACATATTACGTAAACGAGTACAAATTTATTAAGAGAAAGATAGAAAATCGATGTTAGTAGCCGAAAATAGTTGGTCAAACATAAACATAAATAGATATAGAAACCAAATATTTTAATATACATATTCCGCAACAAAACTGAAAATTCATAGATATGGCATTCATGATATGTATTTATCCAATGGTTCGAATAAAATTACCTAATAAAACCTTCCATTACCTAAATAAAACCACAACTATACAAATAATTTTAAATATAATATTTACTTAAAAATAATTAATACCATACTCACTTCATCATCCCTTTCAGCGACTTTGGCGACATCCATTCTTGAAGCTCCCGCTGAGACGGTGGCGGTTCCAGGTGGAAAGGTGAGTATGGAGGCGGAGATGGAGGTATGTCGAACTCCACTTCTCTCGGTTCGGGTTCGATCACTTCGATGGATGCCGACAGTTCGCCGAGGATGAACCTCTTCGAGTTCCTTCTCTGGATCATGTTCTTCCAGGTATGTCTTGCCCAATCGAAGAACCAGTCCAGGATTGCTCCTATCCAGTGGACGAGTGTTATTCGATTCTTAACCGTCTCTCTTCTTTGACTTTCTTTCCCAGGTCCGTTCTCTTCTCTTCACGTTCGTTATAACAATGGCGTTGTAAGTCACAAATTTTATATCACAACTTATAAACAATTAATTAAAAAAGAAATATTATGATCATGACTTTAAAAATGCTATAGTTATATTTTAAATGAATATTAATATATTTCTAGCCGAAGTCAGAAACATGATTACTAAAGTCAATCAATCGATAGTATACATTGAACGATGATTCTATTCGACATTAGTCACTTAGCCATCCCTAGTAAGAACCGATCCAATTTCGCGCTTGCTTATCGATTTATTCTTACTTTGCATGGTTCTTCGATATTAAATACTATTACTGCGTTATCAGAAACGTGATTTTTGAAATAATTTAAACACTAAGAATATAAGCTTGCGTATCAATTTATTTTATTTTTTCGGATTTCTTCTTTGATATTAAGAACCATGATTATATATTTATAATGTGTAAATATATTTTATTATAGTGAAATTTTTGAAAATTCTATCGACTCTAAAAAAAAACGTATTCCTGCATCGATTGATTTCAATTTTTCGGATTTATTAGATACTGAAGTCTACTTACTATAGTGTTATCAGAGGCATAGTTTCTAAAAAATACGAAAATATTCGTAACTTAGTGATAACGTATGGAATTATTATAGCTTACTCGATTAGTATCTATTTACTATATTCACTATTTACACACAAGTAACTGCATTTACAATTCTAATTACATTTAATTTAAATCTTAGCAATTTAAATTACAAATAATTATAATTGTATTAATTGAATTACAAATACCAAAAATGAGTAATTAAATAAAAATAAACATGGATTTCAACTAAATAACTAGTTGAGTTAAATTCCTTTGTTCTCACAATTATCATTAACGATTAACAATCATTTCGGCTTTCGGGCTGAATTCCCTCCCCCTCCTAAAATAGTAAAATTTAACCATGTTTTATGGAAAAAATATTAAAAAATGATCTCTTAATATCAAATATCAAAAATAATTTCTTAAACTATTATTGTTCGTATAATTACATTTAATGGGATTTCAAGAATCACTTAAACACCATTTCAGATAGGTAGTTAGTATCTTTCTTGTTTTTTCCAATGTAATCATCATAATATATATGAAAAAAAAAAACTTTCGGGCTGAAGCCTCCTCCCAAAATTATATCCTGGATCCACTAGTATTTCATACAAGTAGAATGTAATAGTATTTTAAACCTTGATTCGATGGATTAATAATGCTTTTTTCAAACTTAAAAAAAAGTTAACAAAAAAAAAAGTTTAGTAAGAAAATTTCATTTAATTTCCTTGGAAACATGTGATTTGTGTTAAATAATGTTAGTTTTCAGAAATTATTATTTATATTTTATGCGCCACTCACCGTTATCTTCTACAATTTATTTATTTGATATTATTTTATCTAAAATTCTCCGCTTTTCAACAATATATTATACGTATACCTTCTGACTATTATTTCCGATGATTCATTTTCAACCTGGATAAGCATTTTTCTTTTTTTCTATAGTTCCCAATTATTATATTTTTTAAACTTCATATTTAGCTATTTTTTATAGTAACTGTCGATAAAAGAGAATTATTTTTTTTAAATAAACCATATTAAAAGTACTTAAGAGGAAGACGTATATGAACAATGGGCCTTTAAGCCCGGTAAAGTGAGATCAATCAAGACCTAAATGATATTAAAGACCACTTAGTTATACAATGATAAACCGAGTTTAATCAAAATCGTTAGAGCCGTTTTTGAGAAAAATGTACTTCACCGTTGACTTCCATCCTAGACTTCTTCACCCCTCTCCAGCATGTCAAAATAATGAGGTTATATAGGCCAAAAGGCCCAATAATTTTGTAGGTCACCGTTTTTCTAAAGTTAGTGATCAAATTAGCAGGAAGCAAATTTGTAATAGTGAATTTTTAGAACATGATTAAATTAATTAATTTACAGAAAAAATGGCCCATTTTAGAAAATAAAAACGTAGGTTACGATAAGATGAAGTAATTCCCAAGGTTTTAGACTGGTGTTAATAATTTGATAAAAATCTAGTGTGGTGCGCGCATCACACAACTTTCACTTACCACCTTCCTTCAGCAGAAATAGGTATTTTCAGACATAGGGAAGTGAAGATGATACGAAATATTATTTACAACAATTAATTACCATACGTTTTTTACAGCTTTTTAACGTATTAAATTTACGTGTTTTTTTTGTTTTTTTGTCACTAACCTTTTACGACTATATATTTAAATTATTTATTTGATTATAGTAAACAACTTAGTGCCTCGAAATATTTTTAGTCCGACAAGAATGCCTTAAATATTAATAAATTTATTTATATTTCATTGTAGGTATTTTTATTTTGGTATATATACAAATTTTAATTTTTATATTGATGTAACCAACGCAATTAAATATTAAATAATAACAACGCCAGCATTTGTGAAAACCATCCATTTACAAGTATACAATATTATAACAGTTCGTATTATATTAAGCCCATGTTAAATCTTATGTTTCGGCTAAGCTGGGATGCGCGCTGAGGTTCTTCGGTTCTCAAGTACGATCCCTTATTTATCCTTTAGTTAATAATCAATTTATTTCATGCTTTATATTACACCGTTTTTATAACAGGTCACAACGTGAAATAGTTAATTACTTCAAATCAAAAAAATTAAAAGTACTTAAGGAGAAGAAATTTTTACACTGATATAATGAATTTATATCAAAATCGTTAAAGCCGTTTTATGTAAAAGTGTGTAAAATTGATTAAATAAATATGCAATTCCGGTAAGGCATTTTTGACGAAAAGTTGCGGTAACATCCTAGTCAGTTTCGTACGAGGTCTTTGTGCTTGACTGTTAACATAAATACACATACACACAGACACAGACTATTTTCCGCGAAGTAATGATTGACAGCAGTTCCGTGGGGTGTTTAGTGAGTAGGAATCTCACACTGTTATGTGACAGTTTGTTTGTACTATTCATGAACGATTTTTCCCAAAACCAAAAAAAAAAAAAAATACCATTTTGAGGGACTTGGTTATTTGGACTCACTGGACCTCAAAACATCCGTTAAAATTCAGATTTGAATTTTCACGATCGCAATACTTTCTCTTACTATATATTGCATACATAGGAAGTGAAAGTAAAAAGGGATCTGTATCCGCGGACTATAATAGTTCCTAGTTGAATGCTGAAGGGTACTATGCTATTTACAATAAAAACAGTTTCGTGAAGTTTTTTTTTTTTTTTTGAGTTTTATCTTTTTTTGTTTTTCTGCATAAATTCCAGTTGTTATTTATATGGTGTATGGAAATTGCAATCAGGTGTATGGAGTAGGCATGCATAATGAAAATTTAACGCGGGTAACAGCTAGTTTAATTTATTCAATATTATTTTAATATATTTTTTTTTAAAGGGGAAATAGACTTTTTTAAATTTAATGGTCAGTATTATCAGTACTGAAAAGCGAAGAGACTTCGAAATTCTAAATATAGTAAAGGGGAAAAAAAATCACTTATCGATTAGCCAACATTTATCGACTTGTTATCTTTTTTGAAAACAACAAAAACAGCATGAGCTAAGTGCACCATTGCGTAAATTTTAACGGCACTAGGTTTCGCAAGCTAGAACGTACTAAAAACAATTGCAGACTCCAATGAGGCAATGAAAGATCTAAGAGATTTGTCTATTACTTGATAAGATGCATTTTGCAATACCCCCAATTAAATTATTTATTTATTGTCCAGCCTTTAATTAAACTAAAGCTCTTTAACGTAATCGCACCATAAAAATCAATTCTTTAATGTATATGCAATGGCTTTAAAACTACACCGGCCTCGTATATATGCAAATATATGTCAAATACAAAACAATCGTAACTTGGTTATATGTAAATTATTCTAGGACTAATGGAATCCAAGATTAATTTTCACTGTGTTTTCCATATACATTTAAATAAATTTATTTATAATTTCAATAATAAGGGACATTTCAATATTCAAGCAACAGCGATACGATGATAATATTTTTATAATTTTATTTAAATAAACTCCACTAGGTAATCTTTGTCGGATTTAGTTTCGTATTTAAAGAAAAATAACTGATTTTGAAACAACAACTAAAAAATATATCAAGCAATGAATTTAACATTAACCGTCGAATTATGTTCGGTAAGATTTTTATTACAAAAAAAAAAATTTAACTACGAAACATACATATTCTAATGATAAGATCGAAAACGACACTGGACAGTTTCTTATGAAGCATAGGTTTTTTTTAATTTAAGGAAACGAATTTTTAGGAATATGGCATTTCTGAAATTAAAACTATTTAAAAGAAACAAATTAAGAGAAATCCCAATAACTTTTTAGATCAAGTACACATTTCCTCAACAAAGTAAATATTCTATTAGCATCCAGATGTTTAGAAGTAATATCGTTCATGTAATTTTTTTTATTTTTTCATCATATTCTAACATAAAAGGTGTATTTTTAAAACATATATTTAAATAACATGAGTTCCCCTGAGGCACTAGAGGGAAGTTACACCTTCTAAGAAAACGTAAACGCAAACTCTACAACAATATACTTTCGATTTTAATAGAAAATTATCAGATTTATAAATAAAAAAAAATAAGTACTAAGTACTTCATAAATTTTGCATAATTAAGAAATATTTTTGGAAATACAACGAAAATAAATACTAAAAAAAAATAATACTCGAACAATTTAACACAATACCTTCTACCGTTAAAGTCAAAGTTATAAAATAATATATTAAAAAACAAATTGATCAGTAAATACAATTAGCAACAAGCGTAAATGTTTTAAAGGTGGCAGGAATGTCGGAACAAATCAGTTACTGGAGGGTTTCTCTTTGGCATATTGAACATTATGTAATTTTCCATCCAGTAAGAAAAACATTGGGAATTCCAAAGGTATCTTCAACATGACTAATTAGTTATGAAAGTCATTCAGTATTTTAATAAT